GGGCGGGGAGGTGGGCGGGGCCGCTGGTCTCGGGCCGCCGCGGTCAGGCCCGGGAGCGCGGAGTGGCCGCTGGGCCCGGCGGGGTCATGGTGGCCCGCGACGCCGGGCCGGGCGTCCTGGCGCTGCTGCTCGTCGTGTGCGCCCCGCTCGGGCGGCCGGCGGAGGAGCCCGGTGAGTCGCGCGTCAGGGTCGGACTGGGGCTGGCGGGGGCGGGTCGGCGCCGCGGTCTCGCCCACGGAGCTCCGCGCGGTCCCAGCAGCGCCCCGCCGCCCCGCGTCGCCGGGCACCGGCCTGCAGGCTTCGGTCCTCGCGCGCCCACGTGGGGTCGGGCTGGGGCCCCGGGTCGGGTCGAGTGGGGTCCGGTGGAGCGGGGCCGGGTCTCGTCCCGCGAGGGGCCTTGGCCGGCGCGCTCCTGCCGCGCTGACGGCGTGGGCGGCCGCGCGTGCCCCGGGGCGGCGCGCTGTGGGGAGACCGGAGTCGCCAGCCGCGAGGCCGCGTGGGCTGCGGTGCGGAGATCCCAGGCGTTGGCACCGGTTGCTGGTTCACCTCGGCGCCCCGTTTCTAAAGTAGCAAACCCTGGAGTCACTGCAGCGCAAGACTAGCGTGTGGCGCAATTGTAACACACGTGGGGTTCTGTTAAATGCAGGGGATGTTTACAGTGGGTGCTTAAACGTCCCGAGTCACTGTTTGAAAATGTGGCTCACTGCTGTGGATCTGTGAATCCACCCGACAGCAGCTGAGTCTCCGCGCTGGCCTGGACGGACCTGCCATGCCCTTCTCACGAGGCTGGAGGTTTTACGGCCATCAGGGCACTTGGTAGAGCAGTTCTCTGGGGAGAAGTGACGGTTTAGATTCTTACTGAGCTTCAAATTTGTGACTTCATTGTCATTTACTGACGGAAAAGATATTGGCATTTGAGTTTCTGTGAGACAGTCTGTATATGCAGGATGTAAAAACAAAAGAGCCAGTGAAGAAGTGGGTATTCAATCACACGCAAAAAGTAAACTTTAGATTCAGACATTTACTGGGGCGGGGCGGGGGGGGGGTGTCCCCTCCTAGGAACTCCGGTGCTGATCATTCTTAAGGGAAGAGACGTAATCACTGATCTTTGAATTTGTGAAATTTGTGATTTCCCAAAGTAGCACGTGGTCACACATTTCTCAAGCGTTCCTAAATTTAGGCATTTCAGGTCTCGAGATGCACTGCAGGCCTGGGGGCATTCGTGAGTGATGGTGCTGTTCTGAGCGCTCAGAGGAGGGTAGCCTTAGCTTTGCGGCCTGTGTCGGGTGAGAAGGAAATGGCTGTTTCTGTGTCTAACATTTGTTCTCCAAGTTGGCTTAGTCTGGGCCTGGTGGGGCTCCCCACCCCCAGCCTGTCCAGTCACCAGGATCTCCAGAAGCTCCAGTCCTCTTATGTGGAATCAGGTTTCCAGAAGGTGAGGCCTCGGAAGATGCAGGGCCTCCAAGTCCCCCAGGGAATTCTGACTAAGCAGCTCTTGGGTGGAAACCTTTCGTAGTGTCAAGGTGATGCTACGGGGCCACCATGTGTGTTCTAGGCAGAATTACACTTTCACTCACTGTTCTGTTTCAGGAAACAAATGTTATCACTTAACCTGGTAAGTATTTATAAGGCTAATAAATGAAATGATTTGAATTGCTTCTTAGGGCCTGGTGACGCCATGAAGCTAGACAAGTACCTTTGTATGCCTACTGCTTGTCTAGATTGTGGTTTTGTTTGGTTATTTAAAAACTGTTCTCAGTCTGCCAGGCCCCTGACACTTGGTGAACAATTTGGGCTGATTTCAGCTCCTTCCTTTGCCCTGTTGCTCTATACGCACTCACTTGAAGTCAGATATTTATATAGATTGTTATGTATGATTTTGACCTTCTCATTAGTTTGATTACATTTGTATAAATTCATGGTCTTGGATTTAGTCCAGGCTTAATACCTTGATAATAGGCATTGTAAAATAAAATACAGTACCCTTAATTCTTGTGATGAATTTTATTACACTAAAAATCTCTTTCTCTCTTGACCAGAATTTTTGCAAATTAAAGGAAATTAAGGATTTCCTCCTTTAACTATTAGGGAAAAAACGAAAATAATCAGTTGATATCTTAACATAATAATAATCAGTTAATAATAATAATCAGTTGATATCTCAAGAAATATCTAAGTATAGGTTCAAATTTTAGATAGTTACAAAATGCTTTTAAAACCCCTGCTCAACTTAATTTGTTACTATTAGAAAGTCTGCTCTTCAGTCATCTGTATTTGGTTAGATGTAGGATCTGCCGGTATCTTGGTGTTTTAGGTGAGTGACTTCTAAAACGTAAGTACAAGCTTATTCCAGTGTCTTCTGCACCAGTATGTGCCCTCACCCCAGCCTGTCCTGACTTTATCTGTCCACACTGCTGAGACTCAGCCGGCCTTGTAGACGAAGCTCCTTAGGGCAGTGACCCGGACTGTCCTCACTGTCCTCCTGTGACCTGACAAATGCTCTCAGTGAGTGTTTGAGTTGAACTGAACAATTACTTTGTGCTCAGGGGATATTTTGAAGGTACTTTCTAATTAGAGGAAGCTAAGTAATAGGGAGGTACTGAGGTTCCTTTTGAAGGTGCCTCTGCTGCCTCTGCTAATGACTTGTGTTCATCAAGCCCAGCCCCCTAGGCATGGGTATTTCCACATGTAATGCAGCAGAAGGGAGGAGTGAGCCAGCAGGACAAGATGGACCGAATCTCCTGCCTGGAAAGATGTGCCGTGCAGCACCTGAAGCATTTGGTTCTACCATGTATAGAGAAAAGAAAGAAGTAACAAATCAAGAGGTGTTCCTAAAGCAGGATTTGAACCCTGGATAGTGTCCCACACTGTATTATGAACTTTTCATGTCATGATTTTTATACCTTGTGGTACTGAAACAGACTTGAAAGTGTTTTTAAAAAGCACTACTTAGAAATAACTCTGGCATCTGCCCTTTATGAGGATTTATGTTTGTATTTTGAAGATGCACAAGGGAGCTAATTGCAGGATCTAGCAAAGGTTTTAGTCATGTTAAGGTGGTTGGGAGGGAGAATGAAAAGCTGGTTCAGGGAAATACATGCTGGACAGTTTGGACACTCCCTGTGAGTGTCCTAAAGCTGAGAGTCAGCCCTACGCGTAACTGGAGTAATCGGTTGCCTCCTGCGTAAGGAGATAATGCACATAAACCTGTCTGCCACTGCATTTAACGCAGAGTAAGAACTCAGTAAATGTCAGTTGCTTTACTCTTCATTGTTATTATTTCTTACTAGGGGTTTGACAGGCGCTAGGGATGCTCTGCTCCACCTCCCCTCTGCCTCTGCTCTCTCATTCCTCATTCCCTGCCCCCTGTATTCCAGCCCTTCTGTCCACCCGGCTTTTCTTGCGCCTTCTCCCAGAGGAACCAGGCGTCCTTGCGCTGGAGTCTTTGCCGGCTCTGCTGCCTCTGCCGAAGCTTGTCCTTCCCTGCTTGTGCTCAGGCAGGGTGGTGGAGGGGTGGGAGATGACAGACACAGAGAGTACACAAGTGTGAGTGTGCGTGTGTCACCGGTGCCCAGATACTGCCCACATACCCTCAAGGCACAGTGGTCCCTACTGGCCCGAGGGAGCACTTTCCTGATGCCTGAAACCCTGGCACCCTGAACACCACGTTTCCCTTCCCTCCTTTCTCAGGCACCTGTGACCTCTTCAGTACCACATAGCATTTATTCCGTTCAGTTCGCCACCTCCTGTTCCTAGAACACAAGCTCCCTGAGGAGGTCTGTGTGGTGAATGGGTGCTCAGTGAGGTGTGCCCAGAAGACAGTGCAGACCCAGGCGCTGTCCTGCTGGTGCAGACCAGACTAGGAGTCCAACCCTGGGCCTGGGGAAGGAGGCAAAGCGTGTGCCTGACCCCGCCGCTGTTTGCTGTAGAGAGGCTGAGAGTATGGATTCAAAACAGAGGAACTCGTTCTGCTGTGTGAAAAGATTGGCATTCAGGACAAAAGGAAAAATATTCCAGAACTTTGGGTTTGTTCATTAGACTGTGAAGTAATTTTGCCCTTTTGCAACTGAAGGGTAATGTTGATGTCATCTTGCAGATATTCACATTCATAGATGTGCTGAAATTATAAACATGGGCCGCCACACCTGGCACCACGCGGTGGTTTCTAGCCCTGTGTAGAGATGAAGGTGTGATTGTGAGTCCTGAGGTGCTGAACAGAACCAGCTGCCAAATCCCCCTTTGCTTGGGAGTTGCAGAGAAAGAGTAAGTTGCCTGGAGGGTGGAGGAGAGGCTTGGGGCAGCTCCCCAGCCTCTGTTAGGGATTGTGCACTGGAGGAGGCTGGGCGTAGTGGAGAGAGGTCGGGGAGGGCGTTGTCTTTTACCACCAGCACCTGGTACAGGGCCTCTGCAGGAGCAGGCTCCCAGTAGTGGGTTCCTGAGTCAGCCCAGGGAGGAGACTGGCATCCTGCGGCTGAGGGGTTTAAGAATGAGATGAAAGGTAGAATTCACTGAGTTGTTTCCAGAAGAAATCTAGGAAGCCCCAGAAAACACTGCATGTATGCAAGAAAGTAACCAAATCAGCTGTGAAGATCGGAGAACCTGAGACTCCTTTCAGCCTAAAGCTGCAGGCACATGGGTCAGGCCCAGCATCTCAGGGCAGAGGGAAGGAGGCATGGACTTGAGCATTGGGTCGGTGCCCCTAAGACCTGCAGGTGTCTCCGCTGGCGCATCAGGGACCCACTGCGCCTTGAGGCCTGGAGACAGTATGGAGGCACTTTTGGCTTGGCTTGCGCTAGGCCTTGTTGTCAATTTTCATGCATACTCTTGTATACTGTCTGT